TACCTCAGAATGAAACCTTGTACCCATTAATAGTCATTCTTTTCCCCTTCTCCCATCCTCTAGCAAGCACCAGTCTACTTTCTATGTCTATGCATTTGCCTATTCTAGACATTTCAATAAATCATTGTCATCTAATATGTGGCCTTTAATGTCTTTTCACTTCGCATAATATTTTTATTGTTTGTTCATATTATAGCATGTATCAGTACATTGTTCATTTTTAGGGATAAAAATATTTCATTGAATGGATATACCATTTCTTATTTATTCATTAATCAGTTTTGATGGATATGTGGTTTGTTACAGCTTTTTGATTTAGCAACAATGCTGCTATGAACACTCACGTGCAAGGTTTTGTGTAGACCTATCTTTTATTTCTTTTAGGTATATCTCCTCTATATACATATAAGTAGAACTGCTGTGTCCTTTAGTAACTATGAATATCCTTTGAGGACTGCCAAATTATCTTGCAAAGTGATGGCACCACTTTGGAATCCAACCGGCAGTATGTAGAGTTCAGTTTCTTCACAGAGTCAACACTACTTGGTGATATCTGTCTTTTTTATTTTAGCCAAGCTAGTGTATGTGAAGTAGTGTCTTGTGGTTTTCGTTTGCATTTCTCTGATGACAAGTTATGCTGAGCATCTTTTCATTGTTCTCACTACTGGCTGCTTTTATATCTTTGAAGAAAATGTCCACTCAAATACTTTGCCCAATTTTTATTGGGTGATTGTTTCTTTTCATTGTTGAGTCAGGGAAGTTCTTTATATTCTAGATAAAAGTCTGTTATTGACTAAAAGAATTCATATGTTTTCTCCCATTCCGCAAATTGTCTTTTCGTAATGTTTTCTGGCACACATATTTTTATTTTTGACGAAGTTCAGTATTCAAATTTTTTTTCCATTGTTGTGTTTTTGGGTCTGATCTAAGAAATAATGACCTAGTTCAATATCATGTAGATTTACTCCTGTGTTAACTATATTTTGAATTAAATTTTTATATATGGTTTGCAGCACAGTTCCAGTTTCTTGTTTTTGCTCATTTATGCTAAGTTGTCTCAGCACCATTTGTGAGAAGGTTATCCTTCCTCTAGTGCACTGCTTTTATACCTTTGTTAGAGATTAGCTGTATTGTATTCTCACCCTTGTTGAACATCAGTTGGTTACAGATAGAAAGGATTTATTTATGGAATCTCAATTCAGTTCCATTGTTCTGTATGTTTTTTAATCACGATATTATTAGATAAATGTTACACAACATTCTTTAACATTTAAGTCTCAACATTTTTAGATGAGAAACATTTGCATCTACAAAATGAAATAGGCTGTAAAGATTTTAAATGCAGAAAAGTAAAATGAAGCAAAGCTTAAATATTAAACAGCCAAAGCAATAAATTAAAACATCAACATGGCATGCCTAGGTATTCGAGACCACTAAGTTTCCTTTACTAAAAAATGAAAATGTGGTTTATAAGAAAAAAAAAATCTTTGAAAACTTGTCATGAAAAAATAAATATTTGAATGGTAAAACCCTGATCTCTCCTAATTGTTTTGCCTTAAATTACCTCTTAGTCATTACTTACTCTATGCAGGTCAAGAATTCTAAGCTTAATATCATACTTTGATTATACAAACCACCATGACTGGAGAGTTAAGCTGTTTCTTAGATGAGCTAAGCTACTGTTGGTGTTGTGCAAAAGAACAATCTGAGGGCAGAGAGTACAGGGTCCGCTGAAGTCTACCAATCTGTGTTTTATTATGATGCTGTACCACAGTGTTTTGATTACTATAGTTTTGTAGTAAGGTTTGAATCCTCCTACTTTGTTGTTCTTTTTCAACCCTTTTGCGGGTTTCGTGAATTTCAGTATGAGTCCATCTTTGCCAAGAAGCCAGTAGCAATTTTGATGCTGATTGTATTGGGAGTATCACCAATTTGAGGGGTATTGCCATCTTAACAATGTTAATGTTTTAATCTGAACCAATGTAAAAGTCTTGTGTTTCTAAGAATTCTGTTCTTTTTAAGGTTATTGTAAATGGAATTGTTATTTTTGTTTTAGGATCTTTCATTGTGTATAGAAAGAACTACAACTGTATAGATAATATGTATATAGTATAGTACTCTGCAGACTACCTGAACTCATATATTAGTTCTTGTAGGGTTTTTTTGGGTGGATTTCTTAAATTTTTTCTATATACAAAATCATGTCATAAGTGAATAGCAGTAGTTTTCCTTCATTCTTTTCAGTCTGGATGAATGTCTTTTATATCTTACTTTGCCATGTTCACCTGACTGGACATGTTGGTATAATGTTGAATAGAAGCTGTGAGAACAACTATCTTTGTCCTTTTTCTGAATTTAGAGGAAAGTATTCAGTCATTCACAATTTAGTATGGTAGTGGTGACTACAAGTTTTTTGTAGATTCCTATCGTTTAGTTTGTTGAGGGTTCTCTTTTTATCATCTAAGAGTATTGGATTTTATTATTTTTCCCTCCGTTTTTTGTTTGTTGTTTATGTCCTAATGTTGTGCCCTTCACAGTGTGTCATATCAGGTATATTTCTCTCATTACTGATGTTACAGAGCTCTTCTACCCACCACTACCTCCCCAGCAAGCTCTTAGCTTTTATGGTTTTTATTTGTTTGCTTTTGGCTTGCAAACAACAGAAATTTATTTTTCACAGTCTTGGAGACTGGAAACCCGACTCATCAGGGTGCCAGTGTGGTCGAGTTCCAGTGAGGGCCTTCTTCCAGTGGCAGAGCGCTCATTTCTCACTGTGTCTCCCTCCGTGGTGGCAGCATTAAGAGGCTACAAGTTCTCTTCTGGCTCTTGGGAAAGCCGTAGTTCCATTCAGAGGCTTTGTTTTTATAGCTGCTGGCTACATTGGGTGATATAACATGTGATTTGACCTGTTAATTCCCATAGAAATTAATGATTGTTATTTTGTAGTAATGAGTTATGCCCATCATCCAACTGAATTTTTATTTTTATTTGCCTTAATTCTACTTAGATCCTAGGTTACCAAATTTGAGCATTTAACAAGTATACAATTAATTAAATGTACTTCTAAAGTTTTAAAAACGGAATTTTCACATATGCTGTAATTTTAAACCTACTTAATCCACTGTCATCACCCACTCCTTTTAACAGCCACATTAGGGAAACAGTCCAAGTGCCTAAGGACAGATGAGTGTATTAGAAGATGTGGTGTGTGTATACACACGCGCGCACACACAATGGAGTCCTCAACAAAAATTTTACAAAAGGATTATAAACTCCTGTCATTTGCAACCACATGAATGGAACTGAAGGGATATTATGCTAAGCAAAATAAGTTAGGTGGAGAAAGACAAATACAAGATAGTTTCATTTATGTGTGGAATACAGAGAAGCTAAGCAAAAGATCAGACAACAGCATTAACAAATCCTACAGGTTTGTCAGAATTAAGGCTACCAGTGATGGGGGCAAGAGTGGAAAGCAAAGGTGGTAGGGAACATTGGGCTGTGATGGAGAACTATGGGTATCTTGGTAGTGGGTATTGTGTGGTGAAATATTGATACATCTGAAGAGGTATGATCTTTGTAACCTCTGAATCATATACAGTGTTATAAACCAGTGTTATTCCATAAAAACAAGCTAAATTATCATGATGAGACTGTTGGAAAGTCTGGCAGTTATCTCATGGATAGCTGAGATCTTATTTGATTAAATTATTTTTCCATTTTACAATAGGAATTAAGTACCTACTTTGGTGAGGTCCCAGGTTATGGAAATACAGAGATGGACAGAAGCAGACAATGTCCTTTCCTCATGGAGCTTGGTCTAGTGGGGGTAAACACAATATAAATAACAAATGTGAAATTATAAATGTGAGTAGAACTATGAAGGAGAAGTTCAGGATAGTAGAGTATATAATAAATTTTAGAGGAATATGACACAGTTCAGAAATTCTGAAAAAGCTTCTCTGGAAGAGTTAAAGTTGTATTGGGGTTAGGTTAAACAGGATGGAAAGGTGAGTTCAGAAATAAGGAGCATTTATGTGGAGGTGGACAGTAGATGGATTTTTGAGAGATATTTAAATCAAATGGTCAGGTGTTGGGAATGGAGATGGAGAATAGGATTTTAAGAATGAGTTTCTGGTTTCTGGTTGTGCTGCTAAATGAATTTATGCTGCCATTCATGTGACAGAGGACACTGAGACGAGAACAGAACTTACCACTGAGGTTTGAGGAACTCTAATATTTGAGGGTATGAAGGGGAAAGAGTACTAGAAAGAGAGAACTGTAACAGCTAGACCAAAGGAAGGATAGAGGGAAGCAGTGCTATCCTGGGAGGTAAAGGAAGTAAATCTAGCCTTTTGAGAAGCGACAGTAGGCACCAGGTGCAGTAAGCAATGAGACGTAAGGTAAAGACTGAAACAATCATTGGATATAATGACCTGGTGTCTTAGGTGACGGCCTTAGTAGCTTTTCGGGGAGAACAGGGAGTCTGGAATCCATTTTGTTATAGTGTCAGAACAAAGTGGTGAGAAGATAGGAACTTTCAGAGAAATTACCCCCCCCCCCCCAGGTCAAATAGGAGAGAGGATTAGGATAGCTACTGGTAAGGGGAGATTTGATATTTTATGAGAGAGAAAGGTTATTTTTTTCCCCTCAAGATGAGATCACCTCTGAGAGGGAGTGAGGGGCATGCCTCACTGATAAAAGTTGAGAATATTTGAGACGATCCTGGTGAAAGTTGTGATTATGAGAAAGAAATGTGGAATCTACACTATTGGTATTAATAGCTGTTGTTGATAAAGCATCTGCTCAGTGTTAAATGAAACATTTCTAGAGTTGTCACTCATTAATTTATTTGCTTTTACCATAATCCCTTCTTGTCAGAAGAATGATGAAAATGGAAACTGCTCAGGGGAAGGAATTGAATTCCCTACAACCAATTTGTATGAACTGGAAAGCCGGGTCTTAACCGATCACTGGTCCATCCCTTACAAGCGAGAAGAATCACTAGGCAAATGCCTGTTGGCCTCGACCTACCTAGCAAGACTTGGTAAGTTTTCAGTCTTCAGGACTCAAGAGGAGCGTCTTTTTGGTAGGAAGTCTGACTTTAACCGTAGTTCTTCTCATTGACTATCTGTATAATCTTAGATAGTGAACTTGCTTAGTCTTTGTTTGCCCCTATAGGGTGAGCTTTGAATTAAATCAATTGCTTTCTTCTGGTTCCAAGGGTGTAAAATTCTTTAAAATATGATTAACAGCTTTATAAAGTTAACTTTTTCCACAGAAGCTTGGAGTACTTTAAATTAAAACTCAACTCAGTGCCTTTTTTTATTATTAAGAAAGGAAAGTAATATTAGCAAATATTTTGGACTTATGAAGTACTTGACACTATCTTAAATGCTTTATACCTGTTAAACTAATAGAGTAATAAAATAACACTAGACTGGAAAAATGGGTACCAATATAAGAAAACTTCTGTAAATATATTAAAAGAGAAAATAATTATTTTTATACTGAATTCAGTTATAAAATAAGATGGATAGGCCTGTTGTCTTGTGATAATAGGCCAATTAAATTTAATCCTAATGGACTTGAGTGGTGCATTACAACTGGCTTCTCAGCAGCAGCATTTATTGAGTACATGGTAAGATCTAGATCTAGGCAGTGAAACTGAGAAGAGAAAATGCATTTAACAGTATTCCCACTGATAAACTGTATCCCTCATTGAGTTTTTTTTAAAATATGTTCTAAGGATAATTTGACAGTGGACTTGTGAATTCACTTAGCAAGTATTTATCACTTGTTGTGCCAGGTAAAACTTTGTGCATTTTACTACACAGATTACTTCAGCTTGTTTTAGGGGGAGAAGTAATTTTGGCATTTATTGAGAGTGTATGTGTTTTTATTGAGCTGTTTAGGAAAACAGTAATGGCTAGTGTGTAGCTGCTGGTGGAGCTTTATTAGCTTTTTTGTCAGATCATTTGAAGTTACTCTGACGTGGAAAGATAAATTCAGCCATTTTGGTCAAATTAGTATTTATTCATTATACCATTAACAAATGTATACTAATAATAGTTATATACGATAATATTAATAATGAATTAATGAATACTGTGTTTCTCAGTCTGTTCCCTCATCAGAATATATATGTGTATTGTATACGTTGCTTTTATTAACCCTCTCAGAACCAAGGTTTCTATAATAAATAATTTTCTACATTTGTTGATTGAGAATGGTATATATAATTGCTGCAGACTAGTTGGAATATAAAAAGGCATACATATCCTGTCATTTGTTTTATTAAGGTCTTTCCGAGTCTGATGAGAATTGTAAAAGATTTATGGATAGGTGTATGCCTGAAGCATTTAAAAAGGTAAGAAAAATGTGCTGCTTTTTCTTTTTTCCTTTTTTTGGTGTGGCTGAATGTGAGCAGATTTTTTTGTTTTGATTTGAGTTTTTCATGTGTGAGAACGGTTTATAAATCTTGTTTGATTACAGAGTCCTCTATTATGAAATCATAGCTCTGAATTTGGGACTTATAGAGATCATTTACTTCTTTATATTTGTTTGCACTGTCTTGAGTAGAATATCACTTTTAATTCCTATTTGATTACCAAATAATAGATTAAGATATAATTACACTAGAAATTATACATCTTGCTAAACTAAGGATTGTGGCACTTACAAAGATAATATTTATTAGAATATAAACCATTTAATACTCTCTGAGACAGAAGCATATGTTTTTTTTATTTGTTTTTTGTTTTTTTTTTTAGCATTTTTTTTTAAAGATTTATTTATTTATGCATACAGAACTGGGGTACTGGCCAGAGGTGCAGGGGTGGTGAGAGGATTCACCAGAGACAGAGTGGGGAACAAAACAGTCAGATTGACGAAGTACACTGCTGAGGGGAGCAGCGGTGGGTCAGGAAAGGTCTGCCACGCCATGTGGTCACCTCCGGGGTGGGCGCAGATCGAACTCATGCTGAAGTAGCTTTAGCTTCCTAGTGCTGTCCCACCAGGGAGGGCCAGAAGCATATGTTTTAAACTACAAACATTTTAACTGAGTAGAGTATTCTCATTGGCAAAATGGCATGCTTATGACAGTGACTGTCAGTACCCAAGTGATATCCTTGTGCCCTCCTATTCTGCTCCTATCTCTTGGAAGGCAGTTTTTACCAACAGTGAAAATAGAGGTCACAGACTCATGTTTCTGAGAGCAGTCTAACTCAGCATGGTTCCTTTTTCAGGACATAAGTCCTGAATCCCCATAAGAGCAGGGATAATGTCATAGATGCTGATGTTTTCCCTTGTGGGTAACTAGTGCCCAGCTCAGAGAAAGCACAGTAAGTTTTTGTTGAATGAATAAATTTGTCCCCCTGCTGTCCTGTGCTTCTGGGTTTTGACTTCCATTTTTATTCCATGAGTAAGAACTAAAACCACATATGGGTAAAGTTTTATTTATCAAAATCTAGTAAAATAAACTGTTCATGTGCATCTTGATAGAATCTCCCTTGATGCAGGCTTAAAAATAACAAAATTGATTTTAGGAATAAAATTAGCTTTATTTTTAAGAAAAAAAAATCTCTTAAAATTGCTATTTGTGGAGGAATTTATGGAATCAAGAGGTATCTTCACTTTGAATGAATTCATCTACCAATTCATAATTTTATTTTAAATATTTAAGAATTTATTTAATATAGTAGCTTTTTTAAAAAAATAGATTTCTTATAGTGTACATATGAGGTAAGCATACATTAACAAAGGGAAAAAAATTATTTACAGTCATGGGAAAGGGACTGATGAGTCTGAAGAAAAGATCTTTAGGTTGCTGGTCAGACCCAGGGAACCCTGTGTTAAGTCGGTTCACTAGCAAGTTACATAATTGGGGCATAATACTCTTAACTCTAGATGAGATACTTAAGAATACTGCCCTCAACTTTCAAAAATAATTTTTTGATGAGGTAATGTTTGTTTATGTCATAGTTTATATTTTTGGAAATATATAGTCCCCCCATTCAGGTCACCCACCATAGCAACCCAGTGCCAAAGCACCCACAGCCCATCACCATAGCCCACTGTGGTTCCTTCTGCCTTTGTGGTCCCCTCTCTACTGTACTCCCCCTCTGGATGCCTCAGTTCTCTAGTCTGCTTTCAAGGGTTAGCTTTTTAGTTTATCTGTCCCTTTTTCTGGTTTCTCAATATCCCACCTGTAAGTGACACCGTCCAGCATTTGTCTTTCTCCTTCTGACATATTTCGCTTAGCATAATCCTTTCCAGCTCTGTTCATATTGCAGCCGTCAGCTCTTTAAGGTAGAGTAATAAACGGTAAGATGATTGTCTGGTGCACAAAGGTGCCCTACATTGTGGTGTTTGATGTGGTTTATATAAAATGTGTATGTTAGTTTCTCGTGGAGTTTAGAGTATTGCAAGGTTCTCCTTCCAATCAGGAAGACATAGTTTCTTTTTAAATCAGAGCAGCTATGAAATTTGTGTTCTCTTTTTTAAAGATTTGTTTATTTATGCATACAGAACTGGGGTATAGGCCAGAGGTGCAGGGGTGGCGAGAGGCTTCACCAGAGACAGAGTGGGGAGCAGAACAGGCAGATGGACGAAGTACACTGCTGAGGGGAGCAGCAG